GTTGTAATGTGACAAAATATGGAAAAGTTCAAGGGGTATGAATACTTTTGCAAACCACTGTATATACCATTCTGACAATATTAGCTTGTACACAACCCATCACAGCTGCACGCTGTTAGAAAATATATTTTTTGGAGAAGTCACCTCCCAATAAATGTCATTTTGTAAAATCTAACTGCTCACTTTTACTCAGTACTTTTAATACTTAAGTAGATTTTATGTCAGAAATTTACTTTTGCAACTCAAGTACAAAAAATAGATACTTTAAGACTTTCACTCAAGTAATATTTTTAGAGAAAATTGTAACTTTTATCTAAGTATTTTTATGATAAGATACTTGTACTTTTACTCAAGTATCACTTTGAGGTACTTTATACAAACAGTGAACTTTTTAAACACAGCAAAAATATATTTAAAAAGTTACAATGTCGGAAAAAAAAAAGAGTAAACATTTTTTAGAAAAGCGGTCATGTGAAATGTTTGGAACTCGAGTTGTGATCTTCAACAGGTCAGAGGTCCGTCTGAGGTCATCCAAAGTCACTCCACTTCAAAACGACCAAACCAAACGATAAATAAAGTTCTTTTGAAGAATTGAGATCACAACATGAAATGATCTGGAAGGTGTTGAGGTCATTAGGTGAAATTTATTTTGTACAAAATCCAGTTTAATGGGATTAGAAAGTATGATTAAAAAATTAATATATATAATTAAAATAATAAAGCATAATTCCTCTTTAGAAAGTATGTCAATGTATGTTTATTATTGTAAAGAACTAGAATGTGACCTAATGTATATAAAAAATACAATCCTATAAAAAAGGTTAAATTGAATTATTTTACTTACAGTTGGAGCCTGGATGTCTGGAGGAGTTGTAATGTCTCCAAAAAGGTTGAGCTGCTCCACTGGCTGGATGGGAGGAAAAAAAATAATTAGATTTTTTTGTACTTAATCTTAAAAAATAAATAAATAAAACAGCAGATGTTCTCACTTGGACACCATTTCCTTCATTTGTGCTTAGCGAGGAATTTCCATTCTGATAAAAAAAAAAAAAAGAAAAACATGGAATCAAAAGGAAGTTGAATGTGATTTCAGAGACTGAGCGGCTGTCAAGAGTTTTACCTCAACCACTGCGCCGTTTTCACCCTGTAAGCAAAGATAAAGTTTTAATGAGGAAGGTTTTAATTTTGTGTCTGAACTCCCAGAACAGTTCATTCTTTCAGAAAGTTATCGTGACCAAACATTTTGACCCAGAGGAGGAGAGTGCAGCTTACCTTCTGAGCAGCCTCTGCGTCCTTCTTCCTCATGTTGAAGATGACTTGGAAAAGGTCTTTCAGATCAATGACCAGGGGCTCTGCCTGTATGTTAACACGCAAACATACTGGTCACTTCGTTTTTAATCCATCGGGTGCAGATTTAACTTTTATTTACGCATTTGTGGTGTTAAAGACAAGTTAAATGTATTAAATATGTAGTTTTATAAAGAGCAGTGGCGGGCAGCGCTAACCCAAAAATTAGCTCCGCAATTTCTAAAGCGCTTATGAAAATATTTAGGTCCGCAACTTCAAAAACGCTTATGGCGTGTAAAAACTAGCGGAAGCTAATTTTAAAGTGCAAGTTCAATTTGACACTTACTAGCTGGCAATAATTCATGTACGATATCTGTACAACACTGCCAACTAGCGGTGTATGAACCCTTTTACAGCTTAATCCTACAACAGCTGATTGCTGGGGATGTGATTTCCTGAAACAGACCTTCAGCTCCTGGTGTAAAAATTAAAAAGTTGTTGAGGATTGCTACTTCGGCTGCTTTGTCTTTTTTTTGTAGATTTGTCATTAAAGAAGCATCAATAAAGTAATTTTAAAACTGTTTATTGGAAAACTGAAGCAATGCATTCTGGGTACATGACGGATTTGATTTGTGACGGGAAATGAAAGCACCGAGTACAGGAAACTATCTTCCCTTCAAAATAAGAGCTTGGATTTTAAAGTTTTCCATGTAGTTGCTCCAGTTGACCAGTAGATGTCAGACTTCACCAGCATAACGTCCTTAAATCATTTCTGCGTCTCTAACCCCGTTGGCCGATTGCTTCGACCAATTACGTCAAGAATTGAGCTCCAGCGTTTAAACTTGATTCTTTTATTTAAAAAGGATCTCTGATTGTAAAGTAAAATAAATCAATACATACAAAATTTTAGTATGGATTACAAACGTTAACTGTTTTTGCTGGGAAATAGAGTACTAAACACTGCCTTCCTGCTACGTAAGCAGACACAAAGCATTGTGGGAAATCAGAACCATGACCCAAAGCAACAGTCAGCAGGATGTATACCTTCACAATAAGTGTGTTTATCTGGGAGGGGTGCTGTTGGATAGATCACATGTGTTGTGATTCATTGACAGTCATACCTTCTGCTGTTCAACATAATGATGACTGGTAGATAATTAGTTATTAGCGGTACTGCATTTTAATTTTAGAAAGCACAAAATATTTAGGTCCGCAATTAGCGATTTGCGCTTTAGCGGACTGGTGCCCACCACTGATAAAGAGAGTCCATATAAAAAGTCAAGACATGCACACATGAGGGAGGAAACTATCACCACATTTAGCAGAAAAAAAAGAATGAATCGTTGGCCAAAAACGAAGGGCAGTGACCTACAAGGTTCTTTATCTGTATCCTGGACCACCTCTGTTAGCCGAGCACCTGTGAGTCTCACCTGTTGTGCAGTCTTAATGGCAAAAAACTGATGCTGTCCTTCTGCTCCGCACACGTATCCAAACGCTCGGTTGTCCGTTACGTCTCTGGCAATGAAGGAGATCTTGTTCACCTCATGTTCATGTTCGATCACCTGAGCGAAGAGGATAAAAGACTTCATCAGCACTGCAGCCAAATTCTCTCAGCTCTACACGGTAACGAAGGAAAACAAGACTCACTCCTGATCGCTCATCAACAATCTTTATACCAGACATAGAAATGTTGACCCAGATTCGTTGTTTGTGCTTGCCTTGGGTCCGAGCAGCTACTGCCATACCCTGCAGGTACAAACATTACTGTAGCAGCTGTTCATGAATCCCACAGGTAAACACTTAGAAACCGTGTCGTACCTTCAGTTTCATCATGGAGTCCTGGCACATCTTGTCCCCACGGGCCTCGGGAACATCGTCGATGCCAATAAGTTTGGCCTTGTACCTCACACCATCCCCCTGAAACCGGCCCAGCAGGTAGTCATCGGTCTTGTCTGCTACTAAACAGAAAAATTAAAGAATTCCTGTGAGCCTTCAAATACATTTTGATACCTCCTTAAAAAGCACATTTGGATGAGAAATAAGTCTTCTACAGATCACTGAAGCACCAGGAAGTGGAGGAAAAAAAAAGATTTTCCTCATTTCAAATTTACAATAGGTCATGTACAGATTAAAAGATGTTTGTAGAAGATTTTAGGACATTTAAATTGGTTTGCAGAGTTCCAAAACATAGTGATCCCACCAAAAGAATAGTCTCCAACAGGAAAACACAGCTCCCCCAGCAATTATCTCCATCTTCTTCCACTTAAACAGACATCCCTCTCCCCAGCAACTCGTTCCTGCTCGTCCTGGGGGACCCCCAAGTCAAGCCCAGGCCAGAGGATAGATAATCCCTCTAATGAGTCCTGGGTCTTCCCCGGGGACTCCTATCGGTGGGATATGGCCAGAATACCTCTACAGGGAGGCATCATAATCAGATGCCTGAACCACCTCAACTGACTCCTTTCAATGTGGAGGAGCAGCTGCTCTACTCCAAGGTACCCCGGGATGAGGTAACTCCTCACCCCATCTCTAAGGCTGAGCCAGGACACCCTACAAACGAAGACTCTTGGTCTCTTGTATCCAGGATCTTGTTCTTTTCAGTCACGATCCACACTTCATGACCACAGGTGAGAGTTGGAACGTATGCAGACCAGTAAATCGAGAGCTTTGCCTTTCGACTCAGCTCTTTCTTCACCACGACTGAAGCAATGCACTCAATACTGACGACAAGGCCCCAGTCCATCAGTTTTAAAGGGATCCATGATTAGTTGTAACATTGGACTTCATTTGATAAACATATTTTAACTAAAATAAATACTAAAAATACTGCAGGATGTTTTAGTTTAAAAACTAAAAGTTTAAAAATATATTACACGGACAGGGCCATTTTATTTACACGCAAAGCATTCTGGGTAAATGACGACGTGGATAGGTCCTCGGTGCGAGGCTGCTAGCGAGCTACATCCACCCTGAAGGTTAATCTTGGACAATATCTGATGATCGACTTTTAACAGCCTTTATTTTACAGTTCAAATAAATGTTTATCAAATAAAGTCTAATGT